TCCGTTTCTTTTCTTTTTTTTTTTTTTGTGGTACGCGGGCCTCTCACTGTTGTGGCCTCTCCCGTTGTGGAGCACAGGCTCCGGACGCACAGGCTCAGCGGCCATGGCTCACGGGCCCAGCCGCTCCGCGGCATGTGGGATCTTCCCGGACCGGAGCACGAACCTGCGTCCCCTGCATCGGCAGGCGGACTCTCAACCACTGCGCCACCAGGAAAGCTCTATATATTCATTTTTTATCCATCAGTAGATACTTGGGTTATTTCCATGTCCTCAGTATTGTGAATAATGCTGTAATGAACATGGGGAGTATGGATATCTCTTGACACAGTGATTTCATTTCCTTTGGAAGTATACCCAGAAGTGGGATTGCTGAATCATATGGCAGTTTTATTTTTAATTTTTTGAGGAATCTCAACACTGTTTTCCATAGTGCTCTACCGATTTACATTACTACCCAAAATACACAAGGGTTCCCTTTTCCACATTCTTATCAACACTTACCTCTTGTTTTTTGATCATACCCTTTCTAATAGGTGTGAGGTGATACCTCATTGAGGCTTTGATTTGCATTTCCCTGATATTTAGTGATGTTGAGTATCTTTTTATGTACTTGTTGGCCATTTGTATGTCTTTGGAAAAATGTCTATTCAGGTCCTCTGCTCATTTTTTAATCAGATTATTTGCTTTTTACTATTGAGTTGTATGAGTTCTTTATATTAACCCTTATGAAATATGTGATTTGCAAATATTTTGTCCTGTAGATCACTTTTTCATTTTGTTGATTCTTTTGCTGTGCAACAGTTTTTTTTTTTTTTTAATTTTCTTTATTTTTGGCTGTATCGGGTCTTCGTTGCTGCGCGTGGGCTTTCTCTACTTTTGGTGAGCGGGGGCTACTCTTCGTTGCGGTGCACGGCCTTCTCTTTGCAGTGGCTTCTCTTGTTGTGGAGCACAGGCTCTAGGTGCACGGGCTTCAGTGGTTGTGGCACACGGGCTTGATAGTTGCGGCATGCGGGCCTTAGAGCACGCGGACTTCAGTAGCTGTGCATGGTCTCAGTAGTTGTGGTGCACGGGCTCTAGGGCACACTGGCTTCAGTGGTTGTGGTGTGCGGGCTCAGTAGTTGTGACTCACGGGCTCTAGAATGCATGTAGTTGTGGTGCATGGGTTTAGTTGCTCCATGGCATGTGGGATCTTCACAGACCAGGATCGAACCTGTGTCCCCTGCATTGGCAGGTGGATTCTTAACCATTACTCCACCAGGGAAGTCCCAAAGCTTTTTAGTTTGATGTAGTCCCATTTGTTGATTTTTCCTTTTGGTGTCATATCTAAAAAAATCATCACCAAGAAAATGTCAAGGATCTTTTAATCGTATTTTCTTCTAGCAGTTTTATGGGTTAAGGTCTTACATTTAAGTCTTCAATATTCCATTTCTGAGTTCATTTTTGTGAGTAGTGTAAGAGAGGGTTTTGCTTTTGTTCTTTTGCGTGTAAATATCCAGTTTTCCCAGTAATATTTAATGAAGAGACTGTCCTTTCCCTATTGAGTATTCTTGACTCCCTTGTCAAATATTGGTTGACCACATATGCATGGGTTTATTTCTGGGCTCTCAATTCTGTTTCATTGATCTATGTGTCAGTTTTTACGCAGTATCATACTGTTTTGATTACTATAGCTTTGTAATATGGTTAAAAATCAGGAAGTGTGTTTTTTTTTTCTTTCTCAGGATTGCTTTGGTTATTTAAGTCTTTCATGGTTCCATACAGATTTTAGAATTGTTTTCTATTTCTGTAAAAAATGCCATTGGAATTTTCATAGGGATTGCGTTAAATCTATAGATGGCTTTGGGGTAGTATGGTCATTTTATTTATTTATTTATTTGGCTGCGTCGGGTCTTAGTTGTGGCACACAGGATCTTTGTTGAGTCATGTGGGATCTTTTTGTTACAGCATGTGGTTGGCTCGGGTTTCTCTCTAGTTGCAGCACTCAGACTTCTCTCTAGTTGTGGGGCGTGGGTTCTGTAGTTGTGGCGTGCAGGCTCCAGAGAGTGTGGGCTCTGTAGTTTTGTGGCATGCGGGGTCTCTTGTTGAGGCGCGTGGGTTCAGTAGTTGTGGCGCGCAGGCTTAGTTGCCCCGTGGCGTGTGGGATCTTAGTTCCCTGACCAGGGATTGAACCTGCGTCCCCTGCATTGGAAGGCAGATTCTTTACCACAGGACTACCAGGGAAGTCCCAGTATGGTCATTTTAACAGTGTTGTCTTCCAGTTTATGATCATGGGATATAATCCATTTATTTGTGTCTTCTTCAGTTTCTTTCATTAGTGTCTTATAGTTTTTAGAAAATAGATTTTTCATCTTCTTGGTTAAATATATTTCTAAGTATTTTACTGTTTTCAGTGTTATTATAAAGGGGATTGTTTTCATTTTTCAGTATTTCATTGTGAATGAATAGAAATGCAGTTGATTTCTGTATGTTGATTTTGTATCATGTAATTTTACTGAAATTGTTGATTAGTTTTAACAGATATTTGGTATAGTCTTCAGGATTTTCTATATATAAGATCATGTCATTTGCAAACAGAGACACTTTTCTTCTTTCTTTCTGATTTGCATGCCTTTTATTTCCTTTTCTTGGCTAATTGCTTTGGGTTAACACTTCCAGTACTGTGTTGAATAGGAATGGTGAGAATGGGCATCCTTGTCTTATTCCTGATCTTACAGGAAAGACTTTCAGCATTTCACCATTGAGTATGATATTAACTGTTGTCTGGCCTTTATTATGTTGATGTATGTTTCTTCTGTGCCCTCTTTGTTGAGAGTCTTTATCATGAAAGGCTGTGGAATTTTTGTCAAATGATTTTTCTGCATCTATTGAGATGATACTACAATTTTCAACCTTCATTCTGTTAAGTCACATTTGTTGATTTGCAGATGTGGAACCATTCTTGCGTCCTGGGGATAAATTTCAGTTGAACATGGTGACCTTCTAATGTGCTATTGAATTGAGTTTGCTTGTATTTTGCTGAGAATTTTTGTATCATATTCATCAGGTATGTTTACCTATAGTTTTCTTCTGTTGTAGTGTCAGTATCTGACTTTGGTATCAGGATAATGCTGGCCTGGTAAAATGAGTTTCCTCCTCTTTGGTTGTTTGCAAGAGTTTAAGAAGGATTGTTATTAATTCTTTCAAATATTGGGTAGAATTTATTAGTGAAACCGGCTGTTCCTGTTGTTAGGAGTTTTTTTTATTACTGAATCAGTCTCCTTGCTCCTTATTGGTCTGTTCACATTTTTGGTTTTTTCATGATTCAGTCTTGGTAGGGCTTTTGTTTCTAGGAGCTTGTCCATTACATCTAGGTTATCCCAATTTGTTGGCATACAGTTGTTTTATAGTAGTCTCTTCTGATCGTTTGTATTTATGGTATCGGATGTAATGTCTCCTTTTTCACTTCTGATTTTGTTTGAGTCTTCTTTTTTTGGCTAAAGGATTTTGAATTTTGTTTATTTTGTCAAAAACCAGCTCTTAGTTTTGTTGATTTTTCTGTTATTTTTCTGGTCCCAGTTTTACTTACTACTGCTCTCATCATTGTTATTTCCTCCCTTCTGCTAACTTTGGGCTTAGTTTGATCTTCTCTTTCTAGTTTCCTGGGGTGTACGTTTAGGTCGTTTATTTGAGATCTTTCTTTTTCTTAATATAGGCATTTAGAGCCGTAAACTTCCCTCTTAAAACTGCGTTTGTTGCATCCCATGCATTTTGGTATGTTGTGTTTTCTTTTTCATTTGTTTCAAGATTTTTAAAATTTTCTTTTTGATTCCTCCTTTAATCCATTGGTTGTTCAGGGATGTGGTGTTTAATTTTCACACATTTTTGAATTTTCCAGTTTTCCTCCTATTAATGATTTCTAGTTCCATACCATCTAGGTCAGAAAAAGGTACTTGGTATGATTTCAGTTTTTTAAATTTGCTAAATAAGACTTGTTTTGTGACTGCATGTATGATCTGAGTTGGAGTATGTTTTGTGTATGCTTGGGAATGTGTATTCTGCTGCTTTGGGGGTGGGATGTTCTGTATACTGGTTTTCTGTCTGGGTGATCTATCCATTTAAGTGGGGCACCAAAGTCCCCTACTATTATTACACTGTTGTCTGTTTCTCCCTTTGTATGTGCTTAAGATCTGTAGTTGCTCCATTGTTAGATGTACATACACACAAACACATATTGTTGCTCTGTCCTCTTGGTGAATTTGACCCCTTTGTCATTATATAGTAATCTTCTTTGTCTCTTTTTTCAACTTTTGGAATAAAGTCTATCTTCTCTGAAATAAATACAGCTACTTGTGCTCTCTTTTGGTTTCCATTTGTATGGAATATCCCCTCTGTCCCTTCATTTTGAGACTATGTTTGTACCTAAAGCTGAAGTTTGTCCCTTATATGCGTCACACAGTTGGGTCTTGTTTTTTATTTGTGCAGCCACTCTGTACCTTTTGATTGGAAAATTTAATCCATTTACATTAAGTAATTATTGATAGGTAGGGACTTATTAATGCTGTCTTATTGTTTTCTGGCTGTTTTATAGTTTCCTTGTTCCTATCTTCTGCTGTCTTCCTTTGTAAGTTGATGATTTTCCATAGCTTGATTCCCTTCTCTTTATCTTTTCTTTACCTACTGCAGGGTTTTCTTCCTTTGTTAATATTAGGCTTATATACAACATCTGTAGATATAACAGTTTATTTTACGCTGTTAACAGTTTAACTTTGAATACATACAAAAATGACCATTTTATCTCTCCATCATTTATGTTTTTGATGTCAGGATTTATAACTAGTTTACAAGTAACTAATGGTAGCTATAGTTATTTTTCATACTTTTGCCCTTTATTCTATATATGGAGTTAAGTGGTTAAAACACCAACATATTACAATATTAAAATATTCTGAATTTGGTTATATACTTACTTTACCAGTCTGTTGTATATTTTCATGTTACTAATTAGCATCCTTTAATTTCAGCTTGTAGAACTCCTTTCAGCATTTTTTGTAAGGCAGGTATGGTGGTGATGAACTCCAGCTTTTGTTTGCCTGGGAGCATCTTAACCTTTCTTTCATTTCTGAAGGACAACTTTGCCAGGTAATTTTTTTTGTTTGTTTTTAATTTTTGGCTGTGTTGGGTCTTCGTTGCTTTGTGTGGGCTTTCACTAGTTGCGGCGAGTGGGGGCTACTCTTCGTTGCGGTGCATGGGCTTCTCATTGCAGTGGCTTCCCTTGTTGTGGAGCATAGCCTCTAGGTGCATGGGCTTCAGTAGTTGTGGCTCGCGGGCTCTAGAGCACAGGCTCAGTAGTTGTGGCGCACTGGCTTAGTTGCTTCGCGGCATGTGAGATCTTCCTGGACCAGGGATCGAACCCGTGTCCCCTGCGTTGACAGGCGGATTCTTAACTGCTGCGCCACCAGGGAAGTCCCTGTCAGGTAATATTCTTGATGGGAAGTTTTTTTTCTTTCAGTACTTGTGCTTGGGGTATATCTTACCCCCTATTCTGGCCTGTAGGTTTCTGTTGAGAAATCCACTGATGGTTTTATGGGAATTCCCTCATAAGTGAGGATTTTTTTTCCTCTTACTGCTTTTAAAATTCTTTGTCTTTGATTTTTAGACAGTTTTGAAATGTATTTTGGAGAAAGACATTTAGGATTGAATCTTTTTGGGGAACTGTGAGTTTCATGAACTTGGACGTCCAAATCTCTCCTCAGATTTGTGAAATTCTCAGCCATTATTTCTTTAAATAAGCTTTCTGCCCTTTCTCCCTTTTTTCCCCTTCTGGGACTGCAGTAGTACATAGATTATTTCTCCTAATGGTGTCCCATAGCTCATATAGGCTTTCCTTATTCTTTTTCATTCTTTTTCTGTGTTCTTCTCTGAATGGATAATTTAAACAGTCCTGCCTTCTACTTCACAGATTCATTCTGCTTGATTCATTTTTTTGATGTTCTCTGTTGTATTTTTCATTTCATTCATTGTATTCTTGAGCTCCAGAATTTGTTTGGTTCTTTTTAATTTCTATCATTCTATTAAACTTGTCTTCTTTTAAAAAAAGTTTTGTTTCCTGATTTTATTGAGTTGTCTTTCTATGTTTCCTTGTAGCTCCCTGAACTTCCTTAAAACAACTGCTTTGAATTCTTATTGTGTAAATTGCTGTTCTCCATTTCTTTGGGTTTGGCTACTAGAAAATATTGTTTCTTTTGTATTGTTACGTTTTCTTATTCCTTGAAATCTTGCATTGTGTCTTCACATTTGAAGAAGCAGTCACCTCCTCCAGTCTTTACTGAGTGGCTTTTAGAAAGAAATACCTTCTGTCACCCATCAGGGATTCTGAGGCTTTCTCATACCTCTTCTATGCGTACACTTGCTCCACATTCCTTGTACTCTCTTGTGGCAGAATTCTTAAGCTTGTATGCCTTCTCTTTGTCCTACAAAGCTCAGTGGGTGCTGACAGCCTCCCTTTTGCTTTCCCTAGGCCAGAGCTCAATGTTCAAGTTTGTGGTTTCTCCTAAATTGGCTTTCTAGGCATGCTCACTAGCCATCTGCAAAGGCTTGCTCTTGCTGCCATGGGGAGCATTCAGGGAGCTGTCTGTGGGTGGGAGGGTTTATGGGTGAGGCATGTGGGGTGCTGGGGGTGCCCAGGAGCCAGTTGTGGGGATGCACTGGAGAGGCATTCCCAGTAGCTCATGGGCAGACCTGTAATAGAGTCCACAAAGTGGTTAGTATGATCTCTGTCACTTTGAGGTGTTCACTACTGACCCCTGGCTGTTTTTCTCTTAGCCGCTCACTGCCCTGAGCTCACAACTCGGTATTCTGGATGGGGCCAGAGAAATGGGCCTCACTGGCAGCGTCCCACACAGCTGGTGAAGCCAAGCGCTCACATGTTCTCATGTTCCCCTGCAGGAGAAATCACTGGGCAAGAAGGGCTCTCTTGGCACTGAGCCCTGCCCCCTTGTGGGAGAGATGGTACGTTAAGTCAAACATTTCCTCTTACCCTCCTCACAGGGTAGTTTTGGTCTTTTTTGTTTCAACGGTGTGCTGGAACATCTCTCCTGGACTCCTGGATTTCTACAAAGGCTCTTTTGTCTGTGGGTGGTTATCATAATTGGTGTTCTTTGGGGAGATGACAGTAGAAAACTCCTGTTCCGCCATTGTGATGATATCACTCTCTCCTAAAGTCTTTTATCATCCCATGACTAATTCAGATAGAGATCATTTTTACATGTTTTTCTGATACATAATCTTACCACAGTATATTGGTTCATAATAAATGTGCATGGATTTATTACTGGATTTTTTAGAAACAGAAAACCTTTGAAACTTTTATTATAACCTTATTGCAGAAAAATGATTCATTATGTATTTTTATGGTCACTCATTATTATTTAAAAATAAGTGAAGTCTTATGAAAAATAGAGAATAACTTGTGATTTGGGAAAGTTCGGTTTCTTGTTTCCGAATCCCAAAGAATTTGGAAATAATATTGGGAAATAAAAGTCATAACTGTGATGGAAATAGAAGAATAAATGATTTATGCATACTGAATCTGGGGGCATTGCCTCACCCCCACTCCGACTCTCATCTCCATTTCTCTTCTAGGTTCATAGAATGCTGGTAGCCAATAGGAGATTGAAATGTTCTCAGGGGTTTCTAAGTAGCCGTAGAGAAAACACCTGACATGAATTTCTTTGAAGATCTAAATTACCAAGCCCCACCCACAAGTTCAATTACAAGTTCTTTAGTCCCCTGCTCTTAATCGTAAGCAAACACCCAAGTATTACCGGTTATTTGAGGAAAGCCTCTTATATCGAAGATAGAAGATGGGAACTGAAACAAATAAACAGGGAAAAGCACTTGGAAGAGACTTTGCAAGGAGGCAAGGAAACTCTCCCCATTATTAATATATTACGAAAGATAAGAGATGAGGTGGAAGTAAAAAAAAGGATTCTGTAAAAGGCATAATCAGACAACAAAGAAAAGAATTTAAAATATTATAGTAGAAATGAAATTTTAGGAGCACTGTAAGATAATGTTCAGGAAATCTCCCAAAAAGTAGAGTGAAAAGACATGTGGAAAATAAAAGAGAGCGCACTTAGCAAACTATTCCTGAATTTCAATACCCATACCAAGAAGATCCAGGTAAAAGAGGAGAAATGAAAAGGAGAAAATAATAAATAATTCAAGAAAGTTATCCAAAATTGAAGGTTAGAGTTTTCAGATTGAGTGTGCCTACTGAGTGTCCAACCGAATAAGTGAAAATATACCCATGCTAAGATACATCATTAGGAAACTTCGAAACACTGGAAGGCAAAGAGATGATTCGAGAATGCAAAAAACAGGTTATGTATAAAGGATAAGGAATCAGAATGGCTTTGGATTTTTATGCAGCAACCTAGACATGAGAAAACAGTGGAGCAATGCCTTCAGAATTCTGAAGGAAAATGATTTTGAACTTAGAAGTATGTACTCAGCCAAATTATGGCCAACTGGAATAAAGATATTTTCAGACATGCAAGGTCTGAAAATATTTACTTCTCTTGTCCCCTTTATTAAAAACTACTGGAAGGAATTCCCTGGCGGTCCAGTGATTAGGACTCTGCTTTCACTGCTGAGGGTGTGGGTTCGGTCCCTGCTTGGGGAACTAAGATTCTGCAAGGCGTGTGGTACAGCCAAAAAAAAAAAGCTATTGGAGGATGAGAAATGAGAAACACCAATTGAGAGTAAATTAAGAAAAAGGAAGACAGTGGGGTATAGGAAACAGGAGATCCAAGAAGGAGGGAGATGAGGGGAATCCCCAGAGCTACTTTTAGGAGATTCCAAGGTGCTGGCTGTGTACTGTATATAGAGGGCAACCACTCCAGTTGGAGGGCTGTGAATCAGGACCTAGAAATGCAGAATTACCAAGGTGCTTGCTGTCACGGTTGTCTTTTTAACCTGAGGACAGAATACTCTGGTGAGCTTGATCCAGAATTTATCTGTTCTTAGCTTGCCTTGACTATGTACTATGGAAGTTCCAGCTTTCCCCTCATGCCCTGCTGTGTGGCTCAGTTGAGGATACTTGTTTCACCTCTCAGATATATTCTGCTTTGACCTACTGCTAAGTTCTGGTGGGTGGCCGTAGTGAGCTTAGAAACAAAAGATGAACAGAGCCTGCTCTCTCATCTGTATTTCTGTTGTAGGTTCAATGATGCTAGCCTACATTACCCAGCTAGAAGCCTTGACTGTGGTTGACCTGTGTTTTCCAGGATTCATGTCTTTGCCTCATAACTTGGCCTCATAACTCATAACTTTTCCAGAGACGAATTCTCTTAGCTTTCTGGAAAGCTGAAACTGGACAGTGACACAGAGACTGTTCAGTTTATCTTTCCCTATCCTTCCTTACTGTCCTTCATCTATAAGGGTACCATGCCCTTGTGTATCTAGGTTTGTGATTTCGATTAAGTTTTTAAAAACCAAAAATATATTGTTCAGGGATATATACATTTATATATGTATGTATGTATATGTGTATTAAAGGCAAAACTAATCTGAAAAGCAAGGGAATGATTAACACAGAAGTCAGAAGTCAGGCTAACAGTTACCTTAGGGGAGGCAAGAGGATGAGATCAGGGGGCTTCTAAGGTCCTGGTAAAGAGCAGTGTTTAAAACAGGGGCAGTGGATATATGGGAGTTTATTGTATTAATTTCTTTTTATATGCATAAGTATATAGGATATGTATTTGATACATATGAAATAGAAACTTTTTTCTTTTTTTTAAAATTGAAATGTAATGGTACAGATGAACCGGTTTGCAGGGCAGAAATTGAGACAGAGGTAGAGAACAAACGTATGGACACCAAGGGAGGAAGGTGGCCAGGGGTGGGGTGGGGGTGGTACTGTGATGAACTGGGAGATTGGGATTGACATGTATACACTAATATGTATAAAATGGATAACTAATAAGAACCTGCTGTATAAAAAAATAAAGTTAAATTAAAAAAAGGAATTTAGGAAAGATAGAATGAGATAGAGTATAGGAGGTAGACTGTTTTGGGCAAAAACGATGAGTTCTATATTGGGTCACTGTGTTTGTATTATCCTTGAAATGTTCAAATGGAGAATGATAGCCCTATCCTCTACATTTTTACAATGCATACCTTGTTGCTTCTTTAAACATTTATTTAATTCTGCCTTGTTTTATAGCCATTTGATATATTTGTTTCCCCAATGACATTATAATCTCCTGAGGGAGGAAACTAAGTTTTACTCCTATTTATTTGTGTACACAATTAACACATAGTTTTTCAAAAAAAAGCTATTTTAAAAATCTATCACTATTACATGATGGTACGCAATTCACTGACTTCTGGGCTTGATTCAGTTGATCTGTTTGCAAAGGCCCATTTCTTCCAACCTGCATCTCCTCTTACAATTCCATTTGTAATACTCCTGAGACTTTCACTTGATCTAATAAAGTGATCCTTACCAGGTGAAAGAAAAAAAAATTGAAATGTAGTTGACATATAGCAATTTATTGGTATTAGGTATACAACATGATTCGATATTTATATATATTGCAAAATGATCTACTCTCTTAGTAGCGACTTTCAAATATGCAATTTTGTTAACTGTAGTCACCTTGCTGTACATTACAGCCCCATGAGTTATTTATTTTATAACTGGAAGTTTGTACCTATTGACCCCCCTTTTATCTGTTTTGCCCACCCTCCACCCCCCACCCCTGGCCTCTGGCAATCACCAATCTGTTCTTTGTATCTGTGAACTTCTTTTTTTGTTTTGGATTTCATATGTAAATGAGATCATATGGTATTTGTCTTTCTCTCTCTGACTTACTTCACTTAGTGTAATGCCATTAGAGTCCAACCATGTTTTTGCAAATGGCAAGATTTCCTTCTTTTATTTGGCTACATAATATTCCTGTGTGTGTGTGTGTGTGTGTGTGTGTGTGTGTGTGTGACGTTTTCTTTATCCATTCATCCATTGAGGAGCACTTAGGTTGTTTCCATATGTTGACTGCTGTCATGTTGACTGCTGTCATGTCATGTTGACTGTTGTTGCCAAATGATGCTGCAACAACATGGGGATGCATATACCTTTTTGAGTTAGTGTTTTCATTTTCTTTGGATAAATACGTAGAATTGGAATTGCTGGATCATATGGTGGTTCTATTTTTAATTTTTTTGAGGAATCTGCATACCATTTTCCATTGTGGCTGCACCAATTTACATTCCTACTGACCGTGCACTAGGGTTCCCTTTTCTCTACATCCTCTCCAACACTTCTCTCTTGTCTCTTTTTTTTTTTTTTTTTTGCGGTACGCGGGCCTCTCACTGTTGTGGTCTCTCCCGTCGCAGAGCACAGGCTCCGGACGCGCAGGCTCAGCGGCCATGGCTCACGGGTCCAGCTGCTCCGCGGCATGTGGGATCCTCCCGGACCGGGGCACGAACCCGTGTCCCCCGCATCGGCAGGCAGACTCTCAACCACTGCGCCACTAGGGAAGCCCTCTTGTCTCTTTGATAATAGCCGTTCTAACTGTTGTGAGATGATATCTCATTGTGGTTTTGATTTGCATTTCCTTGATGATTAAGTGATGTTGAATATCTTTTCATGTGCCTGTTGGACATCTGTATGTCTCCTTTGGGAAAATGTCTATTCAGATTCTCTGCCCATTTTTAAAATCAGATCGTGTGTTTTTGCTATTGAGTTATGAGTTCTTTATATATTTTGGATATTAACTCCGTATCAGATATATGATTTGGAATATTTTTTCCTTTTTGGCAGCTTGCCTTTTCATTTTGTTGATGGTTTCTTTTGCTGTGCAGAAGCTTTTTAGTTTGATGTAGTCCCACTGTTTATTTTTGCTTTTGTTGCCTTTGCTTTTGGTGTCAAATCCAAACAATCATCTCCAAGATGATTGCTTACCACCTATGTTTTCTTCTAGGAGTTTTATGGTTTCAGTTCTTAC